CTCAATCAAATTGAATTCTCAGAGGTCAGGTACAAACCATGTAAAATATGTAACGAGTGTGGAAAATCAAAAAATTGCTGTGCTGCGATTAAAAAAAAGAGAATCTTCAATTATGATTCCCGTAGTGCAATTAGTATGATCGCTTTTATGCAACAAAAATACAATTTAATAGCTTTTTCTTGTAACTTTGTTAGGACAGTTTACTTGATAAATAGAACCCTGAAGATTTTTCATAAAAATACGATTAAGAATACGAATACGATTCATATGAACGACTACTTTTTAGTAGACGATTGCGATCCCTTATATTCAACGGCTGTAAGAGGCAGCACTAATCGACTGTGATAACCTGTTTTAATGGTATATTTTTTCCTGTAAACCTTTTACAAAGCCGTTAAGGTGATTACAATTACAAAATTTTTTATTAAATTTGATCACTTGGTCTGAAGATTTGACCATTTTCAAAGTGATATATACGGTTTGAATGTTTCAAACTTCTTTACTGTAGTTAAATTTAGCTGTTCTCCGAAACACAACAGCCAAGTTTTTCGACGTAATCGAGTGGATGCTTTTCGCACCACTAAAAATTTCTTGGAAGTTCATTCTGTGGCATTACATTCTGTTTTGCTTTTGAAACAAGATTTTCCACTTCCGATAACGGTTTACTTCTCCTCTATTTTTAAAGTAAACTTTCAACACTTAACGCTCAGGCAATTTTTTTGGTTAAATATCAAAGTAATTAAAATATTATAAAATTAAATATTTTGTATAATTTTAGCACGGAATTTTTAGACAAAAGAAAGAAAGAAAGAAATATGTTATACTACAATCAATTTTTACCTGCATATAGTGATATTTGTTAAGAAAACAATTCTTACGGTCCCCATCAAATTGGATGCTCTTTAAAATTACCGCTAACACTTCTTTTTCTAGAAGACAAAGTAATGTTGATAAGGTATCGCAGCACAATAAAAGTTAGGCAGAAGTTTATATATAATAAGATATTGTCAAGAAAAAAACGAAAAGGAACAGTAAAAAAAATAGTGTAGATTTTTTTTTTTAAAGCTTGATCACTAGTTTAGGGCAATAAAATAATAAGATAAAGCTTTTGTTTTT